CGTGCCGACTTGATGCCAAACTTTTGACATGAAAATTTGTACTGACTTACTGTAGGAAGAATTAAGAACTTCATTTTTATTACTTAATTAAAACTCCAATACACCCAAATAGTATATTATTTATTCATTTACATTAAAAATATTATTATTGTTCAAATTTTCTTTTTAACGTTTGTTTTTTAGAGTCAGGATAATATTTCCGGTATTCTTGTACGCAACGTAATAAAAATTGTTTTTGTTCCTCCTCAACAGTGATTAATTCATGAAAGTCTTGCATTAACTTAATCGTTCTTTCGGCTTCATCGTTTACTACCTACGTAGTACTATTATTTATTCTGTGCCTCAGTGCCGAAACTTTTTTTCTGGCTTGAAACGAAGCATTATTTGACCACAAAGTAGGACATTCAAGGACTTACTTTTTACTGAAATGAAGTCAGAGATATTTTTTTTCTGAAACAAAATAAGTTAAAAAAATATACTTTCACAGGGAACGAAAGTAAAAATTTATTTTACTATTAATGTCAATGTTCTTTAATAAACTTACATTACAATGAATCGCAAAGTTCTTCTTTCGATGGGATGTATCGTTTTCCATGAGTTATTTCTTCCTCTTTGGTTACCTACATTTGGAACCATTTTAACTTTAGTTTCTTGGTCCACATCACCATCAAACAGTGATAATATAGAAACTTCGTCAGTTAAATACCACAAATGCTGAGTAATCTTCTGCAAGGCTGCTTTTGAGATCGTTTTATCTATTTTCTCGTAAGAGACTTCATTGATTTCACGCAAATCTTGGTAAGGTGATTTTATTGCTGAAGTGCATTGAAGCCATGGTTTAACATAGGATATTACGATGAACAAGCAAACGTCAATCAATGCCGTCTTGTCTTTGCTTGTAATCTTGAATTGAGCCCTAAGTAACGATATTTTCAGCCATTCATCGAACTTTGTGCATGACACCTGGAGGTCGGATTTTAATTTTTTTCTCGATATCTCTACATAAAAATATCACAGAAAGCTCTATTAACTCTCGGTAATCATCTCTGACTATTTCTTTTGTCAGTTCAGTTCGGTAAAACTCTAGCAAGTTGTCAATTTCGGAGTCAATCAGATGCTGTGTAAGTTTTTCTCTATAGCTCTGTATTTTATCAGCATTAATACTTTTCCAGTTTTCTCGAAACCTTTTAAAGAGCAGAATATCAGGGCTACAAGCCCTGATATTCGTTAGTTACTTGACTGATTTTTGCTTCGAATACCCCTTTTAAGACCAATTCATACAAGTGATGTCGACAAGCGAAAATAAGCATTTCTCTGTTCAGTTTTTGTTGAAGAAGCACACAGGCAGCGTTTATTCGACCTGTATTTGACGCAGTAGTGTCACAACAAAGAATTTGCACTTTATCTTCTATATACCAGTCTACAATCGCGGTCCAAACTGCCTGTGTTTGTTTACTTCCTGTAGAACTTTCTAGTCTTGGTACAGCAATAAGTTGTTCTTTGTTTTCATAAAAAATAACTATAGGAAGACGTTCTTCTTTTAATTTCCGAGCATTTAAAGCAGGTAAAACCTTGCTATCCCAATGACGTCACAATTTCCGGTATCTTATTTTGGAAATCAATTTTTATGGCTTCAGCGCGTTCTTTGGATGGAAGACTTACTTATTGGAAATTCATTAATATTATATCCAAATGCTTCAATAGTTGCTTCAAGAATGAACACAGAATCTCTCATACTCAATTGAGACTTATCTAGCGCTGCTAGCTGCTACTAATTTTGGAGTAATAAAATCTCTCCCCAGAGGTGTTTTGCTGGGTTGCGTGTTCTCGACAAGCTTCGGTACGTCCTCTTATAAATCTAAGTTTTTATTAGATTCGGGTGATGAGTGGTTTTGTAACGGTACATAAGATGATGTCGAAGGAGTCGGCTCAGACAAGTATTTAGCACGTCGTTTTTCTTCTTCGATAGTTCTGAGGCGCGCTCTTTCCTTTCTATCAGTCAATTTTTTATCCACCTGCTAAGTGACCTGGTCGGCCTGGTTCTCTTAGCAGGTGGACGCTATAAAAAGATTCTATCCTCATTTATTTTTATTAATTGAAGCACATCGGCGTGTGCAATGTCAAACAAATTATCGAAATTGTTGACAAAGTCTTGATGGCACTGTTTAAATACGTCTTGTGTCTTTTGTGCATTTTTTTGCAAGTCCCTCCAAATTTGAGATAAGTTTACATGTTTTTTACACAATTAGACAAAGATTTAGTAGGAATACGCACCTTTTCCCGATAGATAATACGCTCGCGAATAATGAGATTCGCGCTTTCATTGACAGTTAAATTATGGTTAAATTCACTTCACGGCTATTGTAAAATAAAACTGCTAGAACTTGTCCATTAAACGGAAGTTTGAACCCGTTATTTGCTGTTTTACGTCACCTATTAAAAGTATACCCCTTTTAGAATTGCGTAATTGCACTGACATGTTGACTGATTGAAAACACTGCGAGTTATATAACTAAATAACGACTAACGGGTAATGACAAGCACATCGACACGTAGGTCACGTCAGCCTTAAAGAAAAAGTACTGACATGTATTGATGAAATTGAATGACCTTCTTAAAATTTTATTTATAATTGTTTTGACTAAAAGTAAAAAAGTAAGAGGGTATGCGTTAAAAAAACAACTTGTTTTTTTTTGGGACACCTTAATATATATAGATTAACTGTGTGAGTGTTCATCGCTCTTCATCACCATCATTATCATCTTAAAAAATCCACTGCTGAACACCACTTGCAAATATCGACTACTTGTATGTCTCACCAGGTTGTCACCTAGTGTCGGGCCGCTCTCTCTTCGCTTACCGATACGAGGCTGCCACTCAAGAACCTTTCTTCCCCATCGATTGTCGGTTCTTCGACAAGCCATGTGATCGGTCCAATCACTCTACTCCGTTTCTACAGCGATTATCTTTATTACATATTTTGTCGTGCAGAGAATTTTCCTTCACATTCGTTGTTAAATTTGAGGGATACGTACACCGTTACTTTTTCATACGTGGTAGAGCCATGCTGGAGCCATTTTGTGGTCGTAGTACGAATGGCTCGGCTTGACCGGGGAAGCTATTTTACGCTGGTATTCCGTGAGACCACGCTATCACATATTACCAGTGTAAAATAGCAGCTTAATGCTACTGTGTTTCGTATTGTCAGTGTTGAGAACGGAGGCCTTTTTTAATACCTTAGTCTTCAGGGGTGACAACACATTTGTATTTTGATTCTTAACCGAGGATAGATGTAGACGAATAAAAACCTAAGTCTTCCCAAAAATAAAGTCTTCGAACTGTTTTTTTCCAGCTTTACACAACATGTACTTGTTTCATTAAGGATCTGTATTGAAGCAATATGAAGGATTTTCTATCATTACTAACCCTTTAAAAATTTGAGGTAGTTTATATACCTCACAGAATACCAGCGTAAAATAGCATCTTAACACTGCTGTTTCGTATGGTGAGTGTAGAGAACCGGAGACCCTTTTTACTGGAAAAGAGGCATTCTATCTTAGTCCTCACGGGTGACAACGCATCTGCATTTTGATTCGCAAACGAGGATAAACGTAGATGTCTATGGGCCACAGCAACCACTTACCATCAGGTGGACTGTGTGCTCGTTTGTCACCCTATCCTATAAAAAAAATATATAGATCTACAAGACGTCTATAAACTTCTGCGTTTCTTTGTTTATTAGCTATGGGCCGTATTATTTATTTTGTCCATAATATATTCAATAATGACTTTTGCATTCTCAACAAATGATAAATTTAAGTAAACAAGTAGCGTTATCAAAAACCAAAGTACTGTTTCACTTGCGTTTTATCAAAAATACCTACCTTAGCTTTGAAACGAAGTACCTACTGTGGATTTGGACATTACTGGTACACTTATAACTAATAAGTAATAACCCTAATCAGGACATTGTTATTAATGGGTACACAGTATAAGATAAACACATTCACCTGTACTGCAACGAACGCGAAATTTTCTTTAACACACGTGTTGCTTAATATTTACTGTACAAAATATCTAATAGCAGAAATTTGCTCAAATCAAACACGGAGGCGTTTTTAAAATAAGTATTTCGTATCCTACATAGAAAAATACATATATTTCGGCTTTTAACATAAACGATTTTATACGTGGTAGAGCCACGCTGCAGCTATAATAGCTGAAGCACGAATGGGTCGGCTCGACGGACGCTCTCGCAGAATATTAAAATTAAAAATTCTTATTTTGGGTATAAATCCACCTCCTTCGGAGGTTCTTACACAGGCTTTACTTCCCGCATCCCACGAGTTAACAGTCCATAAAAGTCTACTGGTGGACGTTCACAATCACATGTTATGCACCTAAAACCATGTTGTTTGCAAATTATTTTAGTTGCATGTGTGCGAAGTGCGTGTTCTACAATAAATTGTGATATTTTTTTGCTCTAACGCAATCTCAAGTCTATCTTTCTTTGTTGGTCTGAGGCTTTATGGTGTATCCTTAAAAAGCTATGTTTAGCAGTGGATTTTAAAGAGGCTGACGATGCAATAAATAAAAAACCAATAGACTCAATGAGTAACTTTATTAAATGATCAACAGAGAAATAACTTATTTAACAATTGTATATATTAAATCAGGTATATATTTCAACAATCTATACAATCTATAAAACTGTACCTATATAAATTCTATAATCATTTTTTCATAAATTAATTATTTATACTAAAGAATACACTTATTAATTGATACAGTTTTGTTATAATAAATTTGAATGTAGTAATAATCAAGATATTAATCCAAATAGATAAATACCATAATATATTTTATTTACATTCTGTTTTTACAAGTGTCCATTTTTTTTTGATTTGATTTATTTCATATTTACAAAATAAAAATTAATTTGATATATTCGAGAATTGGAAGACGTCGAAAATGTTAAGCTTTGGTATTTCTATTTCTCATTAAAATTTCTCAACTCTTGTTTCGAGCACGCCGATCTTCTCAATCTCACTGTGGATGACATCACCGGGTTTAAGGTATTCCGGGGGGTTGCGGTACATCCCCACTCCACCAGGAGTTCCGGTAAGTATGATGTCACCAGGTAGGAGCGTCATTACTCTGAAAGTTATTGTTTTAATGTAAATTAGAGTGACATATGACCTAATAGTCCACCTGATCGTACCATAGCCTGCTACTGTAAGTATGTACCTATATGTTCCGGGTAATGCTCAATGAATTAGTAAACCTAAGTTTACCCAGTGGGTTGGATAAAATCTAAAATTACATTCATTGAAATTGAATGATTATGTATAACTTTCAAATAAATTTGTCGATACCGATTGCGGTGCCACCTACTGTAAGTTACTTGCACTATACCTATAACCTTCCCGCGAGTGCAAACAATATGTCACCAAAGTTTTAGCGCAATCTTATGAACAGTATGACAGCGCATAAAATACGAACAATAAAAATTATTTTTTATATATTAGATATAAATGTCCGCGCCTTTAGGGCCGTCTAAGAGCTACCTCAGACTGCTGTCTCTGATATTGTATGTGTTTAAATACAATTAAGGAATATTTTGTAAACATTTTTCGATTAAGAACTATTTAAATATATTTCAAACATTTGTTTTCTTTTTTAACAGAAGTCATGGTTACTTTAATTAATACTCGGACTTTACCCAACCCGTTGCGTAAACTTAGGCCTCCTATTTACCATTAATCTCCAAAACATTACCCGTAACATAATATTATATGTACAGCAATAACCGGCCAAATTTGCAGGGAAGATTCAAAATAAGTAATATAGGCAGATGGGTAAGAAATTAATAAAAAAATCTCAATAATTCTATCCTTTTTATCTTTTAAATTCAAAATGCATTGTATGCATTATTTTTTCTGATTTTCATAAATATCTAACGCCTACTATTTTACTACGCACGCACACATTCGAAAGAGTCGATCGGTAGGCAAAAACGCTGTTGCCCATAAACCACATTCAATTTGGGATAATTTCAAATAAAAGTAGAAGCTTTATTTGGTCGTATTTTCAAAAAACTGCAATAACTGCACATATGTAGGTAGTCTATACCCTGGGATTTCTGATGGATTTAACAAATTTTTTAATGTCTGTTAATATGTTTTATACTTACGAAGACAGTCTCTCTATGACGTCAGGGATCCTGTGTATTAACTGATCTGTCTTGCTGCTCTGTTTCAGGACGTCATTGACGGAGCACTTGATGTAGAGGTTCTGCGGATCTCCGATCTCATCGCTAGTGGTAATGCAGGGGCCGATTGGACAGAATGTGTCCATAGACTAAAACAATGAATGACAGCAAAATACGATTGTTAGTGGCGCTGAAACTGTAACATTTGGAAGATACCCCGACCGCGACTTGACAACATTTCGAGTTGGAAAACGTCCATAGGTCATGTACATATTCACAGTGGCGGATTATCCTTAAGGCAAACTAGGCACGTACCTAGAGGCTCAAGGTTACAAAGGGGCGTGCACGGAAGTTTTTAAAAGAAAATTTTAAGTACCTTGCTTACATAAAATAAAAATGTATACTCTCTATAGGGATGTAGGGTTTACAAAGCGCGTCCCATCTACTTGATTACTCCTACATCGCCCTCACTCTCTTATTACGTTTTTCATTCTTACTAGTCTTAATTATTTAGCAACTAAACTTTATTATAAATTATAACATAGTTTATTTGCAAAATAAGTAATTATAATGTATATAGCCACCAGAGAGGGGCCGATGAGGTGCTAGCCTAGGGAGCTGTCGACATTTAATTCGCCTCTGCATATTCATGCAAAGATTATGAACAATATTGGTCGTATTTTTCGTTACTGAGATTCTGTTCATAAAGACATGAATCTTAAAAACCTTGTTACTATTGTATTATTGTAAAGATGAGGAACAAGCACAATCAATGGTGGTAAGTGGATATTACGACCAGTAGACACCTGCATCTATTAGAAGAATAAAAATGCAGATTCGCTGAGACTATGATGGAATACCAGGAAAAAGGGTCTAATAATAAAGATCACACAAAACACAGCAGCACTAGCTGCTATTTGAAACTGATGTTCTGTGAAATAACGTAGAATGTCTTGCTTTGTTTATAACCAGTATGAAGTCTAACAACTATTTTCTAATCTTCTTGTCTAATAAACTGTGGGTATTTCAACCATCAGATGAGAATTTTTCCATCTAATAAACTATAACGTGACTGATCATTCATACAAAAGTAATTTTTAATTTGTTTATGTAGTATTTTATCCTCTGAATAACCTTTATGTAATGATTGAAATATCAGCTCTCATTTTTATAATCATTGTTGTTAATGTATTTAAGAACAGGACAGGGTGTTCCTCATATTAATGCAATTAAAGCAATATAATATAACTATAATAGTTACATAAATTTTTTTTTACATAATGTATTGCGTCTATATTTAACAAATTTTGCATTTAAATATATTTATGCAAAATATTTCTCAATAAGATTAACTAAGCATTGTTTAAATTTGTAAAAAATCGAACGGAAAAATAATATAGATGGAGAGAATATAGGTAATAAAGATAACAAAATCTACAGAATATTATACTCATGACAAGAAAATGTCAAAAACTGTATCTTATGCATCTTAAGACACCACTTGAGATAGTATTTTAAATACAGATAAGAAAATATAGTTCCGTTACATAATAAAATTTTAAAATCATGGTTACATATTTTACTATTGCATATTTGTGAAACGCCTGACAACATTAAATTTTAGGTATTGTTATAAAGATTTCTGTAGCATTTACAGATTTGCAAGCACCTTAATATTTTCTTTCGCACGACGTACTTCGTACCCTTAGGAGTTTAAATATAGTCCTCGGAAGAGCTGAACTAGCCAAGTTAGTTCATATGAATGAGATACTGAACTCCGAGCCTAGCCTTAATAACTTTCAAATATTTTTTGAAAACTATTAATTATTGAAATGGAGAACCGAAATCGTAATTATAAGTACACTGATTATGATAACAATATCAAGATACAATCCAACTCCAACATACTAACAATAAAGGCATATCGATAGAGAATAATAAGACAAAACACGGTCCAGAACCACCAGCATCTAAAAACATAACCTTATATGTGGTGAGAGCCACGCTGCCGCTAAATTGTGGTTGTAACACGAATGGGTGGGCTCGACCTGGGTAGGACCACGGTTTCACAGAATACCAGCGTAAAATAGCACCTTAATGCTGCTGTGTTTCGTATGGTTAGTATAGAGAACCGGAGACCCATTTTACTGGAAACGAGGCATTTCATCTCAGTCCTCACGGGTGACAACGTATCTGCATTTTGATTCTTAATTGAGAATAAATGTAGACGTCTATGGTACACAGTATTCACTCACCATCAGGTAGACTGTGTGCTCGTTTGTTACCTTTATTTTATTAAAAAAAAACTTTCTGCGCGTCTTAATACTTTATAGTTTAGGTTAACCACTTCGAAGCTGCTATTCGTAGACCTCCCTTTTCCTTTGATGGTCAGTTCTCCATCTATTGCCACTTAATTCTAAATAGTAAAATTAGGACGTGCATTCATTTTATATCAAATTAAAAAAATTACACACTAACCTTCCCAAGCAAGAACTGTCCGCCATTTCTATTCTTCTGCCAATCCCTAGCGCTTATGTCCTGCGCCACAGTATATCCAAGCACGTAGTCGAACGCGTTGGCCGCTTTGACATTGCTCGCTGCTCTACCAATCACCACAGTTAATTCCACCTCCCAGTCCACCTTCTGTAAAATGAATATAAGAAAACTTCTGTGAACAACTGATGCGTGTGAAAGCGTGGCGTACTTGAAGAATTATTTTACTATCTCAATACAAATAACAGGTGTGGACTTAGCAATGTAATATTTATAGCCAGTTGTTTTCTTCGTCTTCACAATCAGTCCATGAATAGTGTACTAAGTAAGACTGTATCGTCAAGGTAGACTGACGATTACAATAGCAGACGTCTAGCATCTGTGACGCTGCCTCGTCATCGGTGTGGATATTTCACATTAGGTCTGCCATATACATGGTTGTTTTACAATAACCGGCCAAAACTGCAGAGTTCAGAATAAGTAATATAGGTAAATGATAAAGAAAATAAAAAAAAATCTCAAACATTCTGTCCTTTTTATCTTTAATAAATCAAAATGCGTGGTAATGCATTATTTTACTAAGCACACACACATTCTTAAGGGTCGATCGGTCGGCAAAAACGTTGTGAATTGAATCGCACACAGAGGAGCGCGCTTACGTGCAGTTGTTGCCCATAAATCACATTCAATTTGGGATAATTTCGAATAAAAGTAGACGCCTTATTTACTCGTATTTTTAAAAACTGCAATAACGGTATTTTATTATTTATATATTTGAACTTAAGTAATTAATTTGGCTACTCTTTGAAAAATAAGCCTGTGTACGAGATGTTTAATAACGATAACTAGCTTGAGACTATTAATTACATTACTGTTATTGAATTTTTTGTAAAGTTAATTTAGCGATAAGGTATCTTTTCGTAATAACTAAAACAAGCAATTATATCCATATCTGTGTTTTGTGATGAGTTGTTTTTAAATGGATCTAAAGATTTTGTATAATAAGAATACATATAATAATAGAGTTGATGAAATTATTACAGCAATTTAATTTTTTTCGGAAAAAAACTATTTTTGAGCTCCTCCAATTTTTTGATCAAGTAATATTAAATATATGCTTTAACAAAATGTCTGTTGTCTATTATATTATTTAATAAATATTACATTATTACTCGTATATTAATAGTCTTTTATAATGTTTATACCCAAATTCTTAAGGTTTGTTAAAGAGTTCCATAAAGATTATTAAAAAGGACCATATTCGTTTGTCTTCTTTACAACTATTCCTTAATAAACTTTTCATATTAAATAATACCGTCAGCATCCTGTTCGTGTCGTCTACCACGTACATTATTTCATCTGGCGTCCACCTACGCGCATTATGAGTTACCAGCTTAATTTGCTTCAATAATTGACCCCAATTTACATGGCGCTGGGGTCACATCGGCCTTCTCTGATTCACGAGACAATTTTTTGGTATGTATGTAGGTAAATAAAAAATATAAAAGTTAATTATTTTTAATGTTTTTAATGGTACTTTACTAACATTTTTTGTTTACATATGGCAATACAATTAATATTATAAGGCAGTATTTGACTACAATCCCACGTAGTGGTGAGTAGTAAATAGTAATGTAGACATAAATGGTAAATCGTTCTGACAGATTTTAAATTTATTTTTCATAATATGGCAACACAACTGATTCAAGAATTATTTTCTTACTTATTATAAAGTCTTGTCTACAACCGATCTTTTTTTTATAGGACAGAGTTATAAACGAGCACACAGTCCACCTGATGGTAAGTGGATGCTGTGGCGCATAGGCATCTACATTTATCCTCGATTAAGAATCAAAATACGTTGTCACATCAATAAAAAGGGTCTCCGGTTTTCTAAATTCACCACACGAAACATAGCATCATTAAGCTGCTATTTTACGCTGGTATTCTGTGAGAGCGTGGTCCTACCCCGGTCGAGCCGACCCATTCGTGCTACAGCCATAATATAGCTGCAGCGTGGCTCTACCATGTTTAAAAATGTTTCCGGTTAGTGGTAAACAGTGATATATAAAGCCCTAGATGGTAAATCACTGTCTTAGCGTATGGGGGCGTTCAAGTATTACGTAAGCAAGCGAGGGTTCAATTTTTTCTTACTTTTGCTTACAAAGGAAGCGCGGGGAATATTAAAAATCTAACGTAAGATAAAATATGTATAGAAAATTACTTATAAAGTAAATTAATTAAACCATTTTTATTACTGAGAAGATGAGCTACCAATTGTTAATGACGCAAAACCTTGGATACAAAGCCCGTGGACAATAAATGATTCTTAATTTTGTAAATTTTATTAAAACACAAATATTTTAACTTTCAAATAATTGAGACTTAAATAACTTTAATATTTAATAAAAGTTTTGAAAAAAATCTTACGTCTTATCATTTTATGGAAGGGGTGAGTTCGCTATTTTGTTGTTAACTTGTAGCTTAATGGTGCTACGAGTATTTTACGCTGGTGTTTCTTAGAGTGAGTGTAGAGAACTGGAGACACTTTCTGCTAGATACGAGGCATTCCATCTTAGTCCTCAAGGGTGACAACGCAGGTGATAAATGATTAATTTATCAATACGACCCAGAAACGAAGCGCCAAACGAACCAAAATAAACCAACGCCTACCCAAGTGAAGCGATCGAGAAACGCGGGAAATTTTTGATCGCTAATTTTTTCACATTGACGGTGGATCTAGTGTCAATTCCTTTAAGAAATCGAGGTAACATCAATGCATGGTTTAATATTAAATGCTTGCTACAAGTTTTGACTGCAGTGAGCAACAAGCGACTGAATACGGGGCTTTACCAAGACAACGCGCCCGCACACTTAGCATATGCTAAGTGAACGAAAACGAGAGACTTCCTGGGCATCATACTAGTTAAACTTTTATCACCCCCTTTTTAGCTGATTTGTATTCTCTAAAATAAAAATAAAATGCTGAAAGGCATACAGTTTCCATTGCCGTAAGACTCGTTAGCATTGTTCGAACACACCGTTCGGTCTGAGGAGGACACATGACTGGAAAGCATTTTGAACATTGGTTCAGACGCATGAAAAATTTTAAATAGACGCTGGTGAGGAGTTCTTTGAAAAGATTTAATAATAAAAACTTAGCCATAGAAGTTTTATTTAGTTTAGCAAAACTTTCCGAGTGACCCACGTAAGCATGGAATAAGGTGCGCAAAGGAAACCATGTTTTGAGATCAAATACTTTTTAACAAAAACATAAAAAAACAGTACCTATATAATTCTTACCTGGGTAACGTCACGCAATCTGACAGCTTCGCCGGTTCCAATTACAGTGCTCGCAAACTTGCTAAAGATGATCGGCACTTCCGGCGGAGACAAGTTTTGTTCCTCGCAATGGTCCTTGTAGTTGAGACCAATGCAAAGCACTTTATCCATTCCATGGATGGGAGCGGTGAGCTTTACTGACGATAGAGGTATCTTTTGGGGATTACTGCTTTCAATCCTTCAATGAAAAACGAGGTTAGTTGGTAGAGTTATATTAGTAGCATAGTTGTAGCACGAATGGGTCGACTCGACCGGGGAAGGACCACGCTCTCACAGAATACCAGCGTAAAATACCTGCTTAACACTGCTGAAAAAAGGCATCCCATCTTAGTCCTCACGGGTGACAACGCATCTGCATTTTGATTCTTTATTGGAGGTAGATGTAGATGTCTATAGACCACAGCAAACACTTACCATCAGGTGGACTGTGTGCTCGTTTGTCACCCTAAGCTATAAAAGAAAACTTACAAATTATAATGATTATAATTAATAGAATCAGACGTTACTTTGCAGAAGTCCATTATATTAAATTTGACAAAAAATTACTTTGCGTACATACGCCAGATATCTATCTATGTAGCGGATGTACGCAAAGTAATTTTTTGTCTAATTTAATATAATGATTATGTTGTAATGATCAATTTCAACTACGATGACATCTTCCGAATACCTTCCAAGGATTTAAACTTTCGCAACAGGTATATTATATAATCTCACCGTGTACTGGCGGTGTAAGAATATTCAATCCCCGATATCATTCCTAAGAAGGTAAAGAGGGAAACTGAACCGAGAGATAAACAGCAGCAACTTCTTGATAACAGCCGTATAAAAATTGGTAGCCAAACCGTTTGCCAAGCGCGGTAACTGTGCCATACATACAATAAACGGCCCCTAGTTCCCGGCGACCTTGCTGTTCTTGACTCTGGTGGTAGACATGTTACACTAGGATGTCATAGGATTACCGGCAGTCTGAAGACAGAGACGACACAGAAATTTGCAATCCGTAACTTGATAAAAAAAGATATTTAACCTTAGTTTAAGAACTCCCACGGAAAACAATTATTGTATATCTAGCTATTGAATTGTGTAATCAGGCTAGGACGTCCATTTTATTCTCTCGACAATCGTAATATTATTTTTCATTAAGAAACTGTGTGAGTACTGTTTTATTCACCCACTTGTAGTCTGAAGTTGAGTGTTTTACATTGACGACGAACAAAGTGGAGACAAACGTAAGATTTTCTGTGAAAAACATGCACGAGGTTGGTGCGAAAGCCACGAAGCTTCAATAAATATTTAAGCATAATTCTTTATATTATAACTAAAACTAATTTCGAAATTGCGATTTGTGAACCCTATAATTAACATTGTTTCATTTGTGCGAGCAACTATGCAGGTCTACCAAGAAAAGTATTACTGCAACCACTGTGACCTATTGTGTTCATTGCTAAGTTCTATCTTCAATTAACTTCTTATACGTGGTAGAGCCGCTACGCTTCAGCTATATTATGGTTGTAGCACGAATAGGTCAACTCCACCGGAGGAAGACCACGCTCTAACAGAATATCAGCGTAAAATAGCACCTTAATGCAGTTGTATTTCCTTCCTACCTATTTCGGACCTTTTAACTGCAAACGAGGTATTCCTCGGGGGTGAAAACGCATCTGCATTTTAGATGTGTCTGTCGGCCAATGTTTTCTTACCATTAAAAAGATTGTGTATTTGTTTATCACTCTTTCTTAAAAAATACCAACATAAATATAATCTTAATTTTATGAATATTGGCATTTTGCAGCACCAGCCCATATCGTCGTTGCGACTTTAAGACCTCTTATGTGTCACTTTAGGCAAAATCGCTTTTTTACGCCAGTCTTTTTCACATTTTGAAGCTCTATCGAATGCAAAAACTCTCATGTGTATACGACTATTCAATCATCATTTATTTACCAATTTCAAGATCTATAATGTGCTTCCCAATTAAAAGTTGGTACTTAAAATATCTTATGTGTAACTGTACACATACGAGTTTTTAGTTATATGTCATACTCGGGACCTTTAGGCAATTATTAGATCAAAATATCTTATGTGCATTATTATGCATGACGAGAATGGCGGGTAGTTTTAAAATTCTTTACCTTTGTGACTTTAGAGCACACATATCACGGAGACAAGCGAGACAGATAAATCGTGTGATTATTCTCCAATCGTAGATGATAGATGTCGCTCATTATAGGTATTAATGTATTTTGTCAGTGCGTTGCAGATCGTTACTTCGTCCGCGTTGCGTAAAACGAAAGTTTATTCGATTTGTGAGTGTAACACCATAAAAAATGAATAAAACGCTCTGTCCAAATGAGATTGAGTTATTAGTTAATCAGTAAAATACAGGTTACTCTGAATCAAGTATTTTTTATGATTTTGAGGAAACTCCTAAGGTTAAAACCTGTTCTAGCGGTTCCCTTATTACGCCAGAAGACTTGGGCTTAATATCTTCAGGATTAAATAATCAAGATGACGTTACGGAAGATTTATCTGATCAAAGCATCAGCATGCTCCATGCCGCTGAAGATCAGCGTATTGCGTCTGAAGATGACGTTACGAATGCTTCATCTGATCATAGCATTAGCATACTCTACGCCATTGAAGAACCGGGTATTGCGTCTATACTAAGTGCTATCACCAACACCTATCTTTGAAAATTTGAGCGATAACAGTGGTGATGATCCAGATTGGGTCCCAGTGATTTCACGGTGTAGGCGGATTCTTTGTCTATTGTGGAGCCAGGTTGAAGAACATCTGGACATCAATGAAAATATCAGGTCGTTGTCTGTGCAAGATTTACGAAGAAACAGAAACTTATTTTTAAGAATATGGAGGACCTTGCCTCCTCTGGATAGTGATAATGCTGATAGTGATGGTGATGACAGTGTTAGTGGGGGTATCATTTCCCGAGAATATTGATGATAATACCTCTGTATCTGTACAAAGACCACTTCCGTGCACCGTTAAACTGAATAAAGAAGCCCAGTTTGCAGGTAAATCGTACCTTGGGTATAAAAAGTTAGCCGACAAATGGACAGAGTGCGTTAAGAAGCCTGAAAGAATTTTGAAACCACGTTGCTTACACACGTGTGTAGTTCCTAAATCTAAAAATTATTTTCTTTGTGCTCTTGTATCCAATGAAGAACGTGAACAAATTCTTAAACATTTTTGGAAGCTCAAGACTTGGCCTGAGAAGATGGCGTTTATAAAAGCATCAGCAGTGAGAAGGTGTATAAGACGACGACGTAAATCTCAACAGAAGTTTATAAGCAAAAAACAAAGTGGCCACGATATCTTCATCAATAAATTGGACGCAAAATGCACAAGAGAGTGTGTAAATTATTTTTTCTTAATACTCTTTGCATTGGCGAAGACAGTTTTCGTCGCTGGACTGGAGAGAGGTTGATACTTTCGAAGAAAATATTGAGGAACAATCTGCAGAAAACACTGCATCAAGTTCAAATATTATTGTTAGGCCAGGAAGGAACGTTGAATTGACAAGAACTGTTAAAACATGGCTGGATATTTTACCAAAAGTGCCGAGCCATTACTGTCGGGCTAGCTCAAAAAAATTATGTTGAATGGACTTTTTGATCTGAACTCCACATGTATCAGGTTTTTAAGGAGTGGTGTATTGAAAACCATTACAGAGCTGCCTCTAAAAAGACACTTTCGAAGGTAATAACTAAAGAAAATATCGGCATTCACCACCCTCACAAAGACCAGTGCCACACTTGCTGTATTTATAAAACTGGTAACATTTCCAAAGAAGAATATGATGTGATTGAGCCATATTGTGAAGAAAATTGAAGCCCGTAAAGCCAACAAGAATGCCGTAGCTAGTGCAAACGAAAAGGCTGTGGTTATAACAGTCGACGTTCAAAGTGTTTTCCTTGCCCCAAAGCTATTGGATAGTGAATTATACTACAAATAAAAATTACAATGCCATAACTTTACGGTTTATGACGTGACAATTTACTTTTGGCACGAAGCAGATGGTAATGTTACTGCTAATGCATTCACATCTTGTTTAATAGATTACTCTCAAAACCTGCCACCTTCAACAGAGCGCGTTATCATTATTTCTGATGGATGCGGACACCAAAACCGGAACCGAATTTTGTCAAGTGCCCTAAGCGATTTGGCGCAAAGGAAAATTTGTATCGAACAACTTTACCTGGAAAAGGGTCATATCCACTATTGAGCAATGCATAAAACCACAAATTTTCGCTCCTAGTGGTTACATCACCCAGATAAGACAAGCTCGACCACAAAAGCCGTATGATGTCAAATCCATTCACCATGATTTTTTTCTAAATTTTGAAGAGATGGAATCGAACCTAAAATCCATACAGCCTGGCAAAAAGAATCCTGTCCTGTCGTGGTGGACATTAGAGGTCTTAAATATTTATCCAATTGCTCAATATTTTATAGGTTAAGACATGTCGATGAGTGGTCTGTACTTCCGCAGCGAATAAATAATCAAAGAAACTGTCTGGTATCTCCAAACCGATTGTACATATCTCCATTAAAAATTACTGAGGGCAAGTTTAAACATTTACAGGAACTGAAAAAGGTAATAGATCGGGATTACCACTCGTTTTACGATGTATTACAATTTAATCCGGGTATTTAATGCATTTTGTAATAATTTGATTTGTAATTTTTACAGTACAGAGTACTTGGATACCTAGACGTGCATGCATGAAGAAGATAATGAATCTGAAAGAAGCGAAAGAGGTTTGTAAGGATCGTGACACTTGGCGATCTGTTCTCTCTGGCTACCCCGTCAGGGATTGTGCGTGAAGATAAGCAAGCAAGCAATTTTTATTTTATTCTAACTTGTGATTCAACTGTTATCCTATCTTAATTAGTGTTTCCTGATAAATATAAAATATTTCAGTAAAATTAATAGTTTTTTATTTTAATTATTATAGGCATTTTTGTTCAAAAGCTCTGATGTGATACGTAAAGCGCAACCAAAATCTCTTATGAGTTAATTAAAATATTTTATTTTTATTTTTACTATGATACTTTTTTTAATTTCAACTAACATTAGCAAAGTTAAAAGCAGGAAATCATGTAGTTCTTACCTATATTTTTTATTGTAGTTGGTTTCATTATATTTTTTTCGGTAGACGGTTTTTATCGATTTTCTCATAAAATTGATTTTTACACATAAGAGATCTTAAAGTCGCAACGACGATATGTGACAGCAGTACTCCATGCACGACCGGACTTGCGCTTTATATAAGCTAAGAAGCTGCCCCGGCGTGAAGTACCGCCGCACGCTTGCAAGAACACCAAGTTTCCTTGCGGCTGCTTTGGCTCTGGACTCAATTAACCGCCCATAGTTTAGGTTCGGAGAAAATTCAATCCCTAACAACTGAAGGCGGTCAGTGTACTCCAAGGATACATTCCGGAAAGTAGGAGCCAAGGTGAGCGGGCTCCTTTTAGCGGTAAAAAGACACGCTTGTGTTTTGACAATTAGGCCAGGGGATAAGCCGTACGCTGAAAGCTTGCCCATTAGACTAGCGTGCCAAACCCTGTCAAAAGCCTAAAGAAACATCGAGGGAAACAGCAAGTGCTTCACCACTGTTCTCGAGGGCTTCGTCCCATATGTGAGTGGCATACGCTAGAACGTCCCCAGTTGATCGATTTCGGCGAAACCCGTACTGGCGATCACTGAAGAGATCATTTTGCTCTATGTATGCCATGAGGTGGGCGTTCAATATACGCTCCATAATCTTGCAGAGTATGGAGGTCATTGAAATTGGCCGATAGTTGGCAGGGTCGGTACGGCTACCTTTTTTAGGCACAGGCTGCACATTGGCCAGCTTCTAAGATTTAGGCACTATTCCAGTCCTGAATGAGAGGCGGAACAAGCGTGTCAACACAGGAGACAACTCAGGTGCACAGACCTTTAGAACTATAGCTGGTATACCATCAGGTCCACTAGCTTTGTTCACGTCTAGATTTCGCAAGATTTTAAGAACCTCCTTGTTGGTGATACGGACCTCAGACATAGATTTACCGCAGTGAGGTAATTGAGATGGTACGCTGTTGCTACTGTCCAGACGCAGATTGCAAGCAAAAAGAGAAGCAAATAAGTCCGCTTTCTCCTTAGGCGCATGCGCCAGTGAGCCATCTGGTTTTACCAGCGGAGGCAGAGTGGACCGACAGAAGTTTGTCTCGACCGCTTTGGCGAGACCGAAAAGCTCTACTGCCAGATGGTTTGACAGAGAGCTTTGTGACAGATGCGTTTAATGTGATCGAAACTGGCTTGACGTAATGCCTTCTTGCAAGACTTGGCGGCTTGGTTAAAGGCTCTCTTCTTAAGGCTAACATCCGGAGCTTTACGGTCCCGAGCATCGACCCAGGATAAGTACGCCATATGCTTGTGTTAAACCAAGGGCGAGCTTTACCATCAATGGACACGTCAGCAAAGGGGACGAAATACTCCATCGCTTGACGTATCACATTGGTTATGGCATCCGCGCAGGTCGATGGGTCTCCAGAGGAGAAGCAGACCTGCCGCCAAGGATAAGATGCAAAGAAATGCCGCATCTCATCCAAAGCTGCTGACTTGTACCGCCACATTCGTCGCACTCCGTGGAAATCGTAGTTAGGTGAAGAATATAACGACACGCTAACAGTGGTAGAGCCACGCGGCAGCTTTTGCTGTCGCATGGTTGGGCCGGCTCGAACCGGGGTAGTACCACGACCTCACAGAAAACCAGCGTGAAGTAGAGGTTTACCTCTGCGCTTCGCTTGGTGAGTGCAGGTGGCCGGAGGCACTTTTTACTGGAAATGAGGCATTCCATCTTAGTCCTCACGGGTGACAACGCATCTACATTTTGATTTGTAACAGAGGATAGATGTAGATGTCTATGGGCCGCAACATCCACTTACCATCAGGTGGACTGTGTGCTCGTTTGTCACCCTTATCCTATAAAAAAAAAAAAAAAACAGATTTCACCAGACAGTGGTCAGAAGTTCCCAAGGGTGAAGTAACCTGAACATCGTACCTGTCTGGATCGGTCGTCAGCAGAAGGTCGAGGCAGTTGCTGTGTGCCCATCCACATCAGGTACCCTAGTCGCTTGTTGTACCAGCTGGGAGAGCCCCAGTGACAAGGCAAAATTCCACGCTTCTCTCCCAGCGTCTCTCTTATATATATAATATCCATCCTTTCCCTCTAAAATTTTGGGTTTGACTGACGATCAGTCTGAATAAGCTTGTAATGTTAAAATTATTCTAACATTCAAACATCAATCATGATTGTTCGAACTGATTGATGCTTGCCTAGGCATGTAATGGCTGTCTTAGTCCTCAGAGATGACTATGCTCTGTAGCCTTCTTTGTTTTAAGTTGGTTGCAAGGGTTCACGGGCTACAGTAGCCACTTACCATCATTAAATTATCTTTCACTTCAGTTTTATAAAGAAATACCTTATTTATTAAAATAATCTGCATTTTTATAGTTACTTCTATACCCATGTTATTGCTACATTTTACATTTTAAAAAACATGATAATCCAAGAAAGATAGACTAAAAAATGTGGTGGTGTATTGACATGAAAATGTTGTGGTTGTCTAAAAAAAAAGGTTCTGGATTTCTTCAAAATTTGTGTCATTTTTTCAAGATGCAGTTAAGTTTTTAAGTGTTTACTGTTATACATTTAAAAGGGGTATAATTTATCAACTGCTATTATAAGTGATAAGTCCAAAGTACATTATAGATTTTTCATCATTAAAAACTCATAAGTGACAATGTTGCCAATGTTTACAGTTGCAAGTTAATTGATACAATTATGCCAAAACTAAATTTTATTTTTAAGTTTTCTTAACCAGTTTTTAAATTAATACTCAGACCTTTGTTCTAGCAGTATCAGAATTGTTTTTAAAACAGAAAATTTTAAACTAAAAGTATTAGATAGTTATAGTAAGATTTGATATTAATTAGACACAAGGAACCCTTCCGTATGCTACAGCAACAATAATTAAGTATCCTGAGGTACAGCTGCATGACAACTTACTGTTGTTAATATTAAAAAAGCCAATAATTTCTAATTTATAAATTTAACAAAGTTAACATTAATCTTATTTATATTAATTAATATTCATATGTTAGCTACTACATCTAGTTTTAGATAATATTAGAAATTAAAATAAAATAATAACATTGTTAAACCGACCTCCATCTATCGATTTATTTTTTATAGAATAATGATGACAAATGAGCACACAGTCCACCTGATGGTAAGTGGCTGCTGAGGCCCATACACATCTATATTCATCCTCAATTAAGCATCCAAATACAGGTGCATCCCCCGAGGACTGAGATGAAATGCCTCGTTTCTAGTAAAAAGGGTCTCCAGTTTTATACGCTAACGATACAAAAGCAGCATTAAGCTGCTATTTACGCTGGTATTCTGTGACAGTGTGGTCCTACCCCACTTGAGCCGACCCAATTTATCTTAAAACTTTAATAAATAATTTCTTAAAGACTATAACACATTCCAACATAAAACGCCACATTATTGTACATCAATTGAAAACAAAATTAAAAATATGGCTCAGGATACTAAAGGAAATCCTAGTTATGAATCAATAAGATATTTTATAAATAATGATAGGAAATAAATAATGAAAATGTCAATAAAAATAATTATTCCTATCTGTACCAATAGATAAGTACAAAAAATGTATGCAGCGCCCTAATAGTGGGGACTACTTGGAGGTATATGTGTAGCCGGCCTTATTAAAATATCTACTTACTTTTTCACTTTATCCAAGGCTCCAGTTTTTAAAATATCCAAAAGTGTACATGGCAAACTTGAGTCTGCTTTATTAACATCTACAACATTTTCTCCAGCTAAATATCCAACACGAATCCCACATGGATCATTTTTATATGTAAACTGAACGAGTTTCATGTTGTTTGTTGTTCCGACAGAAAACTTTCTGACCGCTCCAAACGTAATTGAATGATTTATATATTTTTCAAATGGAAACTGAGTTTTTATTGACGTTATCGCACGCAAGATACAATTGACACCCTTCATGACCAAGGCGAACACGTCAGTTTAAAAATTTCGTTGCACAGTACCACAGAACCTTAGTTAGTACTATTCTGTGATTAAAACAAATGTAAAACGAAGAGTTAGGTATTGTTATTGTCTAAGGTTAGGTTATTGTTATGCAATACATGCAAGAAGATTACAACTTGACAAGGTGCTTATAAAGCTAAGTTACAGTATCAATTACGACGTGCTAATCAAATAATGCTTAAAAGCCATTAATATTGATAAGTTTTTCAGATTTGTTTTTTGAGAATATACAAGACTGACATTGACGATGACATTGACGATGATAAATTGATAGTTGATAAATGGTTGATAAAAAAGTACTCTGTGAATTGATAAGACGTGACAAGTTGCGTCCGAAATCACAGGAAATCCATATTCTATATTATATATATATATATATATATATATATATATATGTATATATATATATATATATATATATATATATATATATATATATAATAAATCCGTAGAAAAATTGTGTGTTCACGATTCACGCATAAACTACTGAACGAATGTCCAATTAGTCTTGGGTAGTTCGCGAACGACCTAGGTGGGAAGAGCGCTCTTTTAGGTGAACTATGCGAACTAGTTCGTCGACAATCCCGCTCTTAGTTCTTTAATTATTTATTTTTCTGGCGTCCCCTCTATTATGGAGTGGCGTGGCGCTGCATGGCTAACCGACTGATTTATTGAGTTTCTTATTAAAGTATATAATTATAGTCTATAGTTAAAGTTTTATTAATGCACAATTCACAACAAAGAACAAATATTGCTGGCTCATAATATGAATATGAAAGTGATAGTAAACAGTACATTAATACCGTATAGTTCTCAATTAGATTTTACTGTAAGTTTATTCAAAATTAAAATTTTACTTTTCTATTTCTACTAATTTTTATAAATACTCGAATACAGTGCAACCTCAATATAACAAAACTGAATGGAATTAGAAAGTATTCGTTATTATACCGAGTAACTAGTTATAATGAGGTTTGTTATATAGAGGTTAGGTGTAACTACGATTAGTTTTAACAAGGTAAGAAAACCAAAGACGTATTAAATCACTGGCCCAAGACGCAAAAGACAAAGCTGACCTTTTAGGCTCCCTTTTTGCGTCCAACTCGACTCTTGATGACGGGGGGAAAACACCGCCGACCATCCCGCGGTGTGAGTGCTCCATGCCGGATGTGCTGTTCTCACAGCGCTCAGTTCGCAAAGCACTTCTCTCCCTGGACATCCAGAAGTCCAGTGGGCCTGACGGAATCCCCCCAATTGTGCTGAGGACGTGTGCTCCGGAGTTGGCACCGGTCCTAACGCGTCTTTTCCGGTACTCCTACTCCCAAGGCGTAGTTCCGAATTCATGGAAGACAGCTTTTGTCCACCCGATCCCCAAAAAAGGCGACCGCTCAGACCCGTCCAACTATAGGCCTATCGCGATCACCTCCTTGTTCTCCAAAATAATGGAATCCATTATTAACTGCCAGCTCATCAGGTACCTTGAGGATCACCAGCTGATTAGTGACCGCCAATACGGTTTTCGTCGGGGTCGATCAGCTGGTGATCTTCTGGTCTACCTGACCCATAGATGGGCGGAAGCAGTAGAGTCCAAGGTGGAGGCGTTGGCCGTTAGTCTGGACATTGCGAAGGCCTTCGATAGGGTTTGGCACAAAGCGATTCTTTCGAAGCTCCCTTCCTATGGGCTTCCCGAGAAATTGTGCAATTAGATCACCAGCTTCCTTGCAGATCGGAGCATCAAGGTCGTTGTAGATGGTGCATGTTCTGACTACAAGCCTATTAACGCTGGTGTTCCACAAGGCTGTGTGCTATCACCAACGCTGTTTCTTCTGCATATCAATGATATGTTGCTAACTGGTAACATTCATTGCTATGCGGATGACAGCACTGGTGATGCTCTATACACCGGTTATATATAAAAGTACTCTGTGACACCGGTCGTGCCAATATTTCTCGGGAAAACGTCGCCGTGTTCCGGAACAAACTAGTGTCTGAAGTCGAGTCTTTGCTGAACAAAGTCTCGGATTAGGGGCGACTAAATCTAGTCCAGTTTAATCCTCAGAAGACACAAGTTTGCGCGTTTACCGCTAAAAAGAACCCCTTTGTCGTATCTCCTCAGTTTCAAGGCACTCCCCTTCTTGCCTTAGCCAGTATCGGTATCCTCGGAGTCGACATATCGAGTGACGTGCAGTTTCGTGGTCACTTAGAAGAGAAGGCCAAATTGGCCTCTAAAAAGCTTGGCGTGCTCAGCAGAGCGGGACAGTATTTCATGCCGGCACACCGCCTGCAACTTTACAAGGCGCAGGTTCGGCCTCACATGGAATACTGTTCCCATCTCTGGGCAGGGGCTCCCCAGTGCCAGCTCCTTCCACTTGACCGCATCCAGCGCAGAGCGGCTCGAATCGTCGACGACCGAGCCCTTTCCGATCGGCTCGATTTATTGGCACTGCGAAGAGATGTTGCATCCCTTTGCATTTTCTTTCGCATCTACCATGGGGAGTGCTCTGAGGAATTGTTCGGATTAATCCCAGCCGCCAAATTTCATGAACGCACATCGCGGCAGAACTCCCGATACCATCCACACCATCTGGATGATTGGCGGTCCACCACTGTGCGATTTAAAAGATGTTGTCCTCCTCGCACGACTTCCTTGTGGAATCGATTACCATCAGCGATTTTTCCGGACCGATACGACTTAGGGACCTTCAAGAAAAGAGCGTACTCCTTTTTAAAAAGCCGGCAACGCATCTGCAATTCCCTTCCTGGTGTTGCAGTTGTTCATGGGCGGCGGTAGTCACTTACCATCAGGTGAGCCGCATGCTCGTTTGCCCCCTCTCTTATAGAATAAAAAAAATTAAAAAAGATAGACAGGTTACACACCAACATTATTGTATTTTAAAGTGACGCAGGTAGTACTATATCTACGTACAGTTATTTATTATGACACGTTGCGCTAACAAAAAGAGACAAATGATACGGCATACCTATCGTTAGAAAAAGATGAATATACATCATTAGTTGCGTATTGGTTGCTGCTGAGCGCTCATTGGCGCGAGCACGTGACATACCGATATGGAAATGAACACACTAGCTAGCGTCAAAATTTACACTAGCGGTTAGTGTTGAAATAATAAAACCAATTATGAACAAAACATCTAATCTTCAAAACATTAATGAGACGTTTTTCTTGTCTCTAATAGTTTCCGTATAATTTGTGCACCACCAAAAAACACAGGAAGGCATTTTTACCACGAGTAACTAGAAGATTTACGCGCTGTAGCGAAGGTATAGCCACGATGCGAAAGCGTGCCCGAATGAATGCGAGTCGGGCAATTACCTGACTTTCGTATTGCCATTTTAGAGCGAGCATGACGTACCTATACTTTAAAAACATCTTAGAAGAAAACTTGTTTATTAACCTCAACATTACGTAAATAGTCATCTGCCTGTCGTGTACGTGTCTGAACCTGTCAAGACATGATTTATTGTGGAATTAAGTGGGAATAATTAATAGGATATGTTATGTCAAGATTTCAAGTTGAAAAAATTGGTTAAATAGAGGTAAATAATACCTTCTATATATATTTTGCAATGACTAAAAAATTCGTCATAAAGATGTTTTTGATAAAATCTATTCGCAATGTAGAGTTATATTTTGCATTAGCTCTTACAGGCAGTTCTAGGGGATTTCGAAAAATTCATTAAACCGAGGAATTCGTTATATTGAAGTTTGTTATATCAAGGTTACACTGTGTTACTATGTTATATTAATTAGTGACATGTAATCTATAAATTTAAGTTGCGTTATTTTCATTAATTCAATACACTTCAAAAATATAAAAACATGTTTAGCTTCGTTTATTATATTTTATTTTAATTTCCATATAATCAAATAGTTTTTGATAAGTATCATGCATATATTATATATTATGTAGTACTAATTAAATGATTAATATTTCTTTAACGTAAATTCAATTAATTTTTATTTACTGACATTCAATAAACTCATCTTTTTTAATAAAATCTACTGAATGAGCGAACTAGTTCGCTATAGGACTACGAACTAAATTGAGTGCTCCGAATAGCGACCGACTAAGCCCAAGATTAATGTCCATGAATTTTATCCGCTTCTGGAAGAGTAAAAAAAGGGTTATGGTTTTCCTTTCTTTTTCAAAGTTTATTGTCGTTCATAGACTAATATATAATATGTTGTCCAATATATAAAGGTACTCTGTGATGTTGTCGTTATGGCTGCCGATGGTTCTATCAGTCAAGAGGATTTAACTATAAGCTTAATAAAAAAAAGTGTATATGAAAATAACCCTCATCGCGCCACCAACCAGTAAGGGCTGTGAAAACGTCTACCGGGCCAGCTATTTTTAATACATTTGTTTGCACTTATTTGTTTTGATATTAAATACATAGATAAGAGTGTATATACTGAAAATTAAATAGGTTATACCTAGTGATTATATTCTCTTTGGGTTATTTTTTTTTTTTGGAGTTTATGGCCTGGTATCTAGACCTTTAGGCCAAGTCTTAAGTATTTTTATTCGGTTTATTGTAATTTCCCCACTCCTTCATAGTATACTGCTTCATAATATGTTGATGCGTCACATTGTGCAGTTCTTGGGAGATTTTGGCGGCAACTTGATCCAGCAGACAGCTGATAGTTGGCGATGGTATCTAAAGGTGCCTATGCAAACAAACAGCTTATCTTGAGAATCCATCACCATCAGAGCACTTGTTTCACTGTTTCCACTAATAGTTCACATGCGTAGACATTTAATACACAAAATCGCAACACTTTTACATATCAAAGTCTACTT